AAAAAAAAAAAAAAAAAAAAAAAAAAATAAAATAAAATGTAAAATTAAGAGAGGATTTTTCTATAATAGAAATAAATTTAAAAAAACATTTAAAACATTTCATAAAATAAAACGGATAGTTATCAAATATCGCCAAATAAACATACCAACTAAAAAAGCAAGAATACCACAAAGAAATGTGTAAAAAAAAGATAGAAAGAAAAAAAATATATGCTCGCAGTTTTATTCACTAATTATAAATGATATAAATGATAATAAAAGTTATATTCCAAATGCGAATGCATTAACCCCTTAATAATTTTTAATCTTTAAATTTTTGTAGATTTTAATAGTTTTAGTGCTTATTATTTGTTTGTTATTTAATTATAGAACAGAGTAGTACAGTTAAAACTGAAAAATATATTGTCATTAAATAAAATTGTCATGCTATTAGAGTTTTACATGCATTATAATGATTTATGAATATACAAAAGATTGATATTTCGTGAAATTTTTTTATGAATTTACTATTATTAGTCAATTCATTTAATAATATTATATAATATTCATTTAAATACGATTATTATTGTACTCCATACTACAAAGAAAAAAAAAAAGCATCTGCAAAAACAATCAAAAAATTGCTTCGCTCCTATAAATGTTCTTCATTAAATTATAATTATTATGATATATATATATATTTTTTTTCAAAAATAGTTTTACTCTCCTTCCTCTCAGTTTAAAAGTTAACTTGCATGCGCAAGCATGAGTACACACACGCGCGGACACGCACACACTCTCTCTCGTGTTGTGTGTGTGTGTGTGTGTTTATGTATGTATGTATGTGATGTTTCCAGATACGTATAGATGCATATACATATGCATATGTATATCGTATGTACGTATATATACACGTTCATGTGCGTACGGACACGCGTGTGTGTACATATGTATGTGAATATGTATAATTGAATAGACAACACGGCATCTGATTAAAACGCACTTGATCTTAAAGCAATAAGACACACGTGCGTTATTTGTATACGTTAAAATAAATCAGTGAAGTAGAAAAAAATGAAAAAGTGAGACAGAATTAGAAAGTATGTGAGAAAGAGAAAGAGAAAGAGAAAGAGAAAGAGAGAGAGAGAGAGAGAGAGAGAGAGAGAGAGAGAGAGAGGGAGAAAGGGGTTGTTAGAAGAATTCAGATGCCTTGTGACCTTTTTTTTCCCATAAATTCTGATTATTTAACCTTATGCCTCCTGAATTCAACATTAATACTTTATTTTTTAATTTTTATCCGTTATCTCCTCTCTGAGTCCAGACTTAAATATTACATGCAAGAGTACTATGCAAACACACATATAATAAGAAATATAAGAGAACTATACACATTCATTCAATCACTCTGACCGATTTCATGTCCGTAACAAATACATTAGAGAAAATTTAGAACATATAAAATATTTTTCTATTGGATAAAATGCTATATTTTATTGTTTTCCTAATAGCAAAAGTATCCAATTATTATTTAAAAAGATTAACACATACACGTAGAATTTTTGCAAATGATACCGCGCATTATTATTATATATTTAATGTTTTCAATCATTTTTTATTTACTTAAATTTCTATAAATGTTTTTGCGTCCCAAAATCAATCAATCAGCACAAATAAAAAATTTCAAATTTAAGGATTAAC